GCCTCCATTTTTGCACTCAGGTCTAAGTCTCATGGCCCTCTATCAGAATCCAGAGTTTTGGGAAGATTGGAGAAACTTAATTTTTCGCCCAAAAAAAAAAAACGTAAGGGGTACCACTGTCGTTTTTTTTTCGGGCCGAATTTTTGAGTTTCGATATCTCAGCTCTGGAAGGGGCTAGAGCCTCCATTTTTGCACTCAGGTCTAAGTCTCATGGCCCTCTATCAGAATCCAGAGTTTTGGGAAGATTGGAGAAACTTAATTTTTCGCCCAAAAAAAAAAAACGTAAGGGGTACCACTGTCGTTTTTTTTTTTTTCGGGCCGAATTTTTGAGTTTCGATATCTCAGCTCTGGAAGGGGCTAGAGCCTCCATTTTTGCACTCAGGTCTAAGTCTCATGGCCCTCTATCAGAATCCAGAGTTTTGGGAAGATTGGAGAAACTTAATTTTTCGCCCCAAAAAAAAAACGTAAGGGGTACCACTGTCGTTTTTTTTTCGGGCCGAATTTTTGAGTTTCGATATCTCAGCTCTGGAAGGGGCTAGAGCCTCCATTTTTGCACTCAGGTCTAAGTCTCATGGCCCTCTATCAGAATCCAGAGTTTTGGGAAGATTGGAGAAACTTAATTTTTCGCCCAAAAAAAAAAACGTAAGGGGTACCACTGTCGTTTTTTTTTTCGGGCCGAATTTTTGAGTTTCGATATCTCAGCTCTGGAAGGGGCTAGAGCCTCCATTTTTGCACTCAGGTCTAAGTCTCATGGCCCTCTATCAGAATCCAGAGTTTGGGAAGATTGGAGAAACTTAATTTTTCGCCAAAAAAAAAAACGTAAGGGGTACCACTGTCGTTTTTTTTTTCGGGCCGAATTTTTGAGTTTCGATATCTCAGCTCTGGAAGGGGCTAGAGCCTCCATTTTTGCACTCAGGTCTAAGTCTCATGGCCCTCTATCAGAATCCAGAGTTTTGGGAAGATTGGAGAAACTTAATTTTTCGCCCAAAAAAAAAAACGTAAGGGGTACCACTGTCGTTTTTTTTTCGGGCCGAATTTTTGAGTTTCGATATCTCAGCTCTGGAAGGGGCTAGAGCCTCCATTTTTGCACTCAGGTCTAAGTCTCATGGCCCTCTATCAGAATCCAGAGTTTTGGGAAGATTGGAGAAACTTAATTTTTCGCCCAAAAAAAAAAAACGAAAGGGGTACCACTGTCGTTTTTTTTTCGGGCCGAATTTTTGAGTTTCGATATCTCAGCTCTGGAAGGGTCTAGAGCCCAGGGGCGTCGCAACCATGGGGGATGTGGGTGTTTTAACACCCACACTTTTCCCGGTGAGAGTGTTCAACACCCGCACTTTTTCTGCCGTTTTTCCGCAGTTTTACACAAACGCCTTTCTACAGTCGCTCCTCCGTTTCTCTGGCGCTCAGTGTGTGTGTGTGCGCTCGGTGCGGCTGTCTCTTCTCAAACATGACACCGGCTTTGAGTGTGTCCGGCTGATGATTGGCTGTTCTGCCTTAAGTCCCGCCTCTCTTGATGTTTTAGATGTATCGGTCAGCTCGTGCTGAGGAGGCGGGAACTTATGGTTGTTTACATCTCCCTTTTCCAGGTACTTTGAATGAGTGTTTATGCTTTCGAGTTTTTTAAATAAGTTTGATATGTGTTTGGGAAGATGTTATGTTTATGTTTGACATGTCCAGTGTTTTCATTATTATATTTCGTATTTTTGGATAAACAGTACAAGACTTGCGTTAGGCATTCTGTTTGTAATGCTGCGTGATTTGAAAAAAAAAAAAAAACGCGCTCTTTGCTCACACGATCAGCATGGTGTTCTGTGTTTTCTCCTAAATAAAAGCTCAAGGGTTTATTTCTTACAAGTGAAGAAATTAGGACAAAAGTATTGTAATTTTGATAGCATAATATAGAATATAATGACAGACTCTATATCTTAACTATAAAGATGTTTGAGCCCTCTTTAGGTCAGCAACAAGTCCATGCTTTTTTGTTGTTCAATGTGCACAGGCCTGGGTCGAATCCAGTTGAAGCGATTAATTTTGAGCTCTCAATGTGCTCCAGATTGATGCATTTAACCTTAAAATGTACCAAATTTTCTTGCGGGGGAGCATGCCCCCGAACCCCGCTAGAGGGACAGGGGTCTACGTAACATGCCCAAATTTAAATGACACATCCATCCCCCACACTTTTCAAAAGCTTGCTACGCCTCTGTATATTAGGTATTTCATGGTAACATAGTGGTATGACATGATTTTCTTGTTATGTAAATGAAACAACAGGGCTCTTACCTGCCATAGGATGTATCTCCTAAAATGTATGTCTTGGCTTTGGTTTCATTCTCTATTTCTGCAGAGACCCGGACGGCATCAGGAAGGAGTTCATCTGGAAACTGTAAGGCTACCTGTGATAAAAACAGGACATACTTATACGTTTAATAGCTCAGCTGGACAACTGGTTTTAGTAAAAATGACAGATGATTTCTAAAGATGTTGTCTTACCTTTGTGAATTGATTACTAGTAACAAAGCGACACGTCTCAGCTATTTGATACAGCTGCATCAAATTTCCAGCATGGCTGCTTGTGATGGTGGACACATTGACAGTGCGCTGAAGAACCGCCTCACTGTTGCTACTGAAAGCATCTGTCATATTCTCTCGGGAGATAGTGATGTACTTTGGGTCTGAAACAAATTTGAGTTATAGTTAAGCACTAAGCAGCATCACATTCTTCGTACTGCTGGAAAGAACGAACACAGCACATTAATTGCCCTTCCCACAACAGCACACAATCTAAAGTTTAACTTTCATAAAAGTAGCTTGGGGTTGTCAGTCCACTATAAAGGGGTTTAAAGGGATAGTTGACCCAAAATAAAACTTCTGTCATTAATTACTCATCTCCTTGTTGTTCTAAACCCATAAGACTTTTGTTTATCGTCGACACAAATGAAGATCTTTTTGGATGACATCTGTGAGCTTTCTGTCCCTCCATAGACAGCTAGTACCACTTTGACACTTCAAAATGTTCATAAAGAGATTGTAAAACTAGTCCATATGAATTGAGCGGTTTGTTCCAAATTTTCGTAAGAAACATGATTTCTTTATTATATGATGAACAGATTTAATTTAGGCTATTATTCATATAAAAATTGATCAGTGAACATAAACAGAAGCTCAACCTACACTGCTTGATGGACGAGAACAAACCTTGTTGACTAAACAGATAAATTCATATTACAATCTTGAACATTTTTAAGCGTCAAAGGGTCAGTTGTGTTCCATCAAAAAGATCATCACTTGTGTTCAGAAGATGAACGGATTTGGAACGACATGTGGGTGAGTAAGGTTATAGGACATACTTTTAATTTTTGGGTGAACTGTGTGGACCTGACATTCATAAATTAATATTGACTATTATTAAAATATACAACTGATATGTCTCGCTCGCTTAGATTAACAGAATCATTCTAACTCTCCTAACGTTACAGTCTATTACTACGTTGCACATTTGGAACCAGCTGGGAGTTGCCACGGAAACTGCTTGAAGCGGCTAAACTAGTGACCGCTGGATAAATTCATTTGATAGCTGAATTTACGCCAAACAAAATTACATTTAATGAACCAAAGCAAAACATAACCTACCAAAACAGAGATGCAAATAACATGTCAATTCCCACGTGAGGTTGAGAGGAACACGGCACTCTCTTCTTCATCTTTCAGCGCCTGCGATTTGAGTTCATCTTCATCATACTGCCTTCTAGTGTGCTGGAGAGGCGGTCGGTGACCGTGACAACTTTCATATTCGACTTCACAAAACAGGTACACAAAGAGAATTCAAAAAGACTAGCCTTTCATGCATGAATTATGATAACCTCAGTCAGGCTTTTTCCCTATGTGTTTCTATTGCTCTTAGGGCAAGAAAAACAAGATTTTATTAGATTTTTTTTTTTTAAACAAAATTTTCAAAAAGATTTTCAGATGTCCACTTGAGTGGACAGCATCCATATACAGTATACTGTATATATATAATATAAATCCGAAATATTGCAAAGTCAATTATTATCAATACAGTCAATTGTCAATATTACGAGTAAAGAAACGCATTACAAGTAATCAGATTACGTTTTGATGTTACGAGTAAATAAATGCATTACAAGTAACATTCATTTCATAAACAGATACCTTTTTGACCTGAAAAGAAATGCATTATGTAATTAGATACATTTCTTATGAAATGAGTAAAGCAAGGCATTAAAAGTCACATAAATTATGTAATTACATAACTTTTTTCGATGTCAATGAACATTCTAATAATACAAATACAATTATTTACAGTCAAAAAAGGCACTGCAAATTAAGTATTTTAAAAAAACAATATTCACCTTTTAATTGGTGAAATCTAATTGTAGGTGAAATATAGCCATTGATGCATGAGGACCACTATAGTGGACAGGTGATTAATCAGATTTTTCTCCCAATCTAAAAACAAAACTTGCAAAAACTTGCTTGATGCAGCAATATTTTTTTATCTATGCAATTTTTGGACATCTCGTGTGCGTTTCTTGCAAACTCAAGTTTTTTATAATTCTGGCAACAATCCCAACCATCCAAAAAAATGACCGATGTCATGTTCATCACAAAACTGCCAAAATTACCCAAGGCACATGTTTGTCGCTGTGCTGATGATATTCAGTGTGTGTGTGTGATTATACTTAAATATGCAACAGCATCATTTCATCACACTTAAAATGACAACGCATGAACGCAACATAAATATAAATGAATACAAAGTTAATAGCTGCTGAAGGTGAATGTGTATTTAGTTGCTTGAATCATTGAAGTACAATGTACTTCACACCTTCTTATTTTAGTTTGGACTTTTTTCTGACTGTGTTGAGTTTGTGTTTCCACAGTAATCAATATCTCAAATCTAGTAAAGTTTTTCATATAAAAAAATCACTGTGAGGGTGTTTCTAACGGCTGAGGGAATGATGGCAAATTTGACATCTTTCTTCTAATCAATCTCTTTATTTTTCCCTCTTTTGGAAAGTCGTGGAAACTCTATTACAGATTTTTCTTTTGCTATTGGAGCAATTAAAAATATATATTTGCAGTCATCTCCCTTCACCACTATAGAAGTTTAGACAACTTCTGTTTCTTGGGCTTCAAGCTGTTGACATTGGTGTAAATAAGCTTGGACTTCATGATCCTAATGCAAGATGATGCACTGTTGATGTAGATATGTAAATATGATTTATTTTCCTAATAGAACTTGATATCTTAATAAAGCAAGAACAGACATTTACTCCTAGAGGATGACTGTGAATAACACAGCTCTTCTTATGACCAAAAGCTGATGAGAATTTTTTTCTTTTTTTTTAGGAAGAACAATGTCTCCTGGCGTTCACATCCATATCCGATAGAATCCCAGAACTACTGTGAGACACGTGAATACTGAACCTAGAAAAATGACAAAAATAAATCATGAATGAAAATAAATACTGAAACAGTCTCTTACTGACCAGTTATTTGAATAACTAATCTTGAAAAATGTCTCTTGAGCACTTTATCGGTGTGATTAATGTAACATGGACATTCTGCAGCTGTTTGTACGGCAGATCCTTGAGACGGAACTTAATGAACACACTATCATTACAGAGACCAGTGGTGGACAAAGTACATCTTATGAAATCTTATGAAAAGCCCAAATTCAAATTTACAATATTGTGAAAAGGTTTTCATAGCTGTAAGCCATAATCATCAAAATTATAACAAATAAAAGCTTGAAATATCTCACTTTGCGTGTGATGAGTCTATATAATCTATTAGTTTCACCTTTTAAGTTGAATTACTGAAATGAACTTTTGCACGATATTCTTATTTTTCGAGTTTCACCTGTACTTGAGTAAAAGTACAGATATTCTAATTACTTCAGTAAAAGTACTCCTTTTTAAATTTTACTCGAGTAATACTTGATTTTTAATGTGCTGATCAATGAATTATGTTTAGGATAAGTTCAGACATCTGCAAATAAACAAAGGTTTTATACACTAGCAAGTAGTAATCAAAAGCAGTCATACATTATCTAAATATTAAATCTCAATATGCAAATATATCAAATTTACTGATAATTCAAATGTTCAAACAAAAATAACAAAATATTCCATTGTATGAGGAAAAACAATGCGTGTAAACAATAAAGTATGAACATACAATATACAGACACTAGTCCACCACTGGCCGAGTCTTTTTTATTATTATTATTTATTATATACTGTTATTTTGGGCCTTCATAAAATAAATAAGCTCAACAATAAGTTTCAGCCTCATTCCAGACTTGAACAGATGTACAGCTTTTTCAAATTGTTTTCAAATTGCAAACGTGTGATCTTGACACTTTTACCTGCAAGATATTTGATAGTATCTAGTTTATGTGCCTCTAGCATAGTCTTCAGGCCAGCCACTTCTGTGTCGATTTTCATGTTGGTCTCTGTCACATGCCGATCCTGCTCAGAATGCTAAGAAAGAAACTCCAGTTTTATAAAAAGTTTCATACAAAAAATCATGAAGATATTATTGTCCTAAATATTGGTACTTCTCACCATCTCCATCAATTCATTCCTGGTCCCAATAAGTTTTCTGTCAAAGTCTACCGTCTAGACCAAGAGCAAACACATCTCAGTTAAAGTGTAACTTCCAGCTCAAAACGACACACATCTTTGGTTTCCAGAGACGGTGAAGCTTCCAAAGCTGTTTTTCTGGCGAGTCTTTGATCTTACTGTACTTACCATCTCCTTTACACGGCTTTTCTCCATGTTTAAATCCAAAATGGTATCTGCACGCCTTTTGCTTATCACATCCTGCAGCACAAAAACAAAATGTAAAACTATAATAACTAGAGAACCCAGTAAATTTGTATAGTCAGAGGCTGTAGCTGTGTATTTAAGGTCTGAATAGCAAAGTAAAACCTTTTTTTATGATTTTTTTTTCCTTTACTTACAGTGATTTGTAACTTTAGCTGTGCTAGCTCAACCTTGATTTTCTGTAACGGAAATAAGATACATAATACTTCTTTATTAGGTGATGTACCAACTGAGAGATTCAAGGCAAACCAAATAATGACCTTATTCAAAAAAAGGCATCACTTTTTATTTCACAGCTACAATGTTACATTTTTATTGAATATACCAAGCCAAGAGATATGGAAATATTTATATTTATTTATATAAATACACTAATGTTCAAAAGTTTAGGTGCAGTAAGATTTTTTTGTTAAAGAAATTAAAATCAGCAAGAACACAATAAATTCATCTAAAGACATTTATAATGTTCCAAATGATTTCTATTTTAAATAAATCCTGTTCTTTGTAAATTTCTCTTTATCACAGAATCCTGAATTTTTTAATCAAGATTTACAGAAAAATATTAAAAAGCACAACCGTCTTCAACATTGATAGTAAGAGATGTTTCTTGAACAGCAAATCAGTATATTAGAATGATTTCTGAAGGATCATGGGACACTGAAGACTGGAGTAATGATGCTGAAAATTGAGCTTTGCCATCAAAGCAATTGAAAATCTGCTGCTCATTCAAAAAAAAACATTTAAGAAAAATCTTTCTGACCCCAAACGTACAAATAATTTAAGTATACAAATCCAGTGGGTGATGATGATAATAGATAACACAGCACAAATGATAAGAGGTCTCACCTCATTGTCAGCCAATAATGCTGAGAATTCACTCTTCTCAAGAATGATCATGTCCTTTTTCACAGCGGTGATATGAGACATGATTTTCTGTAACATGATTTCCTGTGAAAACAAAAATAGTCAAGAAGAATAACTGACCTGTTCAAACTGGGCTCTGCTACTGTATGAGGGAAGATGTAAAGACAACTGGCAGCCAACACAACTTTTTTTTAGGCTAACGATTGCGTCATAACACGCAACTCTCAGTTGCACAATAGAGCAATTACCGTATGGAGGAGAAACTTTTAACGCTTCATTTTACAGTACAGTACTTACAGTGTACTTACCTAGAAAGTACTGGCTAAGATAAGGTAAGTACATGGAACAAGGTAGGTTTAGGGGTAGGTTCAGGGTTAGTACTAGTTATTACCCAGTAATTGTAGTTACTAAAATAAGTACATAGTATTTACATGGGTAACTGGACTGTAATAGGAAGTGTTACCGAGAAACTTATGTGGAGGCATAAAGTCAAGGGAGAAGCCCATAGAGAGTCATAAAGTTGCTCCTGCTGCTGCTCGTGGTCAGCTAATACCCACGATATCCGGCTCTGCAAGATTCGGAAGGGAATGATTCAGATTCGTCTTGGCACAGCTACTAAAATACGTACAATCACTTTCAGTTTGAGCCTGCACAGTGCACTTGGCAATCAGGAAGTGAGAGCTTCTAATTGACTCCACTTTTCTCCATTGAAATCTATAGGGTTGCTATGTCCATTTCTTTTACTGTCTATGCAACCAAAGTGCTGAACAAGTGTGTCACTAATGAGTGTCCCACCAGAAACAAACCCTTCATTCTGTAGTTCCAGGAAGACAAGTTGCTATAACTAAACATAGACCTAAATAAACTATAAAAATCTCAAAACAGATTAGATCAAATTTAATTTATTAGTGCTATTAGTGATATTTTCCACGTTTGATCAGACAGATCTGTGTAATTATGGCTAAAAAAATCATGTGCCATTCCAATTATTTGTCACAATGCTTCCTGCAGATAGCAGATTATGATGTGTGACTCATGTTGTAGTTAAGGGTGTGCTCTTCATTGGTTCATGATTAGTTCATATCATGAGTTAATGTTGAAGTAACTATTAATTCAGGTATTAGTACATGATTATTCATGTAGCCTATTGTAAAGTGTTACCACATAAAACTTATCAAAAGTGGAATACATGAGCTAAATCAATAAGTGATCACAACAGCAAGAAAAGACAATAAAAATCTCACCTGCTGTGTCTTGGTGGCCATGTCACCGTACGTAACGTCCATGTTTGAATTTGTGGTATTCACCATCATATTGACAATGACCTCCGCCTGCTGGCTCACAAAACCTGAAAGGACACAAGATCATTTCGATGAATATCACTGACCTAGACTTTGGCAGAACATTTTAGAAACATGGAAAAGCTATCTTACCACTTTGCTCAAGCAGTCGGACCATTGCATGAGTGTCAAAGAATAGCTTCCTATTGCCAGACTTAGATATGTCTGTTTTTTTCTGGTCATACTGTAGAGTTTTAACAGAGGTGCTCAATTCTGAAACAAATACAATGGGGAACGATTAGCTTGTAGAATATGTAAATCAATCAATAGAAAACTGGTCATTATCAACATCAGTAAACGTTCTGCAAACTTAGACGTGTGGTGTGCATCACTTACAGTACAAACATACGCACCTCTGACCAACATGCATGAACCTCTCAATAGCAGAACAGACTCCGTGCCAGACCTGCTAAATCCACTTCTGATAGCAGATATCAGCTGTCTGCTGTGTGGAGACCACATTCTGCCTGAAAATAAGCACTTTATAGTCTTTTTTGTATTAAATCCGTGGAAAACTTTATAATGTTGACCGCATGATCTTGCTTTTCTCGTGTAACGTTAGCCTATTCGTCTTCTAATCAATACTTAGAACACAACTTCTGTTTTTTGACACTGTTTTTTCCCGCACTGCAATAAGAAATATAAAGGTTTCCAAACGTTTCTCCTTTCTGTTTGACAGATCCGCCAACCTCTGTCAAGCTTCCTGTAACTGCGCGTAAACAATGACGTTTCACGTACACATGCTGGTTCCATAGGGGCTGGTTCTAAAAGCTGGACGTAAGCACGTCGTAACGTTTTACAAATGGTAAGCGAGGGAGGTGCTTACTCCTTAGCAACCAGAAAATGTTTACTAAGGGTGTAAATATAAGGGCTCCATTTTTAGGGCTCCATTTGCAATTGTTGCTGCACATTTACCAAAATGGGACACCTCTACAGTTTAACTCCCTGATTTATTGTGATTTTACAAGCAATATGGAAAATGCGAGAAAGAAACTGTTGAGACTGACTCTGAATATCAATCAGACTGAGTCTGATATTGTCTGACAGATCTACCAACACATATACTGAAACTAACATTCAAAAATCTAATTTATTCATATATTTATTTATTTTTTTATTTTTTTTACAAAATTAATATTCTTGAGATAGGCTACTTGGAAATGGGGACATTACAATGCCAGAAGGAAAACAGATGGATTCTCAATAGTGTCTTGAAATGTCAAATGTCTTTGAAAAAGTGACTTTCAGTTTGAGGTAAATATTTCAGTCCTTTTCTGTAAACTTCTAAGTTACATTTCCTTTAAGTTACAAACCCCATATAGTTACAATATGCTGACTATGCTGACTAACATTTTAAAACAAACATTCTATTGTTTCTGGCTAGTGTAACAGGTTTCTAAACATTTGATTCTAAACTAAATCAATAATTAAATTGCACACAAAGATGTGCATAACGTATAATGCCAATGTATAATGCCAGAACGTTTCAAGAGTAGGCTACAGTACAAACTTGCCAAGTAATCGTTACCGGATTAGATGTTGTGTCAGTGTTGATACTGTATTATAGTCAAAAACGAAAACAGAATAAGGTTCTGAAGGTATGGCATGAAGAACCAGCCAATGAACCGCCCAGGACTTGAGCTACAGTAAACAGGACTTGTGTTTACACACACCAAAACCTCAAAACAGAAGTCCTGAAAGTACATATGACATCTGACTTTACTATTTTACTGCTTTCCCAAATTCCAAAATATTCTGCATTGAAACCCAAATGAATTCATGCTTTCATTTGCTATAAATGATTATACACCCAAAACTATTATAATGGCAAAGTTTTCTGATTTGTAAAACAGAACTCACAGGCTCTGTTGAGATCAACAGTAAGAAACTGTTAAATTGTTGACAGTAAGTATACGCAGACAGTTTCATTTTTAACATTGTGCTGTTCAGACTGTTGATGTTTGGCCGATCACAACTGAAGAGACCTCAGAAAAAGAAAAAGAGATAAGACTTCAGACCAGGAACACCACACACACTGATAGCACCAATGCAAAGATCGCCACACCGCTCAGCATCATTGCGGCGAACACCTGGCTACGACTGCAGAAGCTTTGAGCTGCCTCCTCGTCGATGGACAGCAGTGCTAGTGAGGCGCTGTCAGTGCTAACAGGGTCAGCGTACTGAGGACTCAGTGCCTCCACAGTCCAGCGCAGAACGTTGACTTTCAGCTCCATGTCATCCAGTGTGCGGTCCACCTGTGCGATCTCCTGCTCCAGCTGACTCTGCTCCTGACCCTCCACGCTGGACGTCTGGGTCCCGTCACCTGCCTCCTGCAGGTCCGGCAGACTCAAGGCCCGTGCCGCCACCTCTGTTGTCCCACCTGTTTAAGCAATTACATGTTTATCAGACCAATAATGGGCTGTGATGGTTACACTTCATGTTTGAGGAATGTGCAGAAGTCTTAAATAATTAGTATCAGTAATCACTTTTGAAACTTCTTACAGTTATGCATGCCTACCCTGTATGCCTGTTTGCACCATGTTACTGTTATTGGCCAGGGAAAAGTGCTTGGCCATGGTGAAAACCTTGCACATGTCTGCATGTAGGAGCTCCAGACACGAGGAGAACGCTACCCACAACAGCTCTGTTTCCTTCCTTTCAGTCTCTGGTAATGTTTTATCCCTCAGTCGAGCTGTCAGGTGGTTTCGGCAGGACACCGCAAGTGTCTGGGCTCGCTCTCGTGTTTGCCGAAGATCCCGCCGCAGGCTGGAGTTGTCCATGCATCCACCGACACAGGAGGCTAAGTGTCGATAACATGCCACCACCTGAATCAGATCAGATCAATGATGTTCTGAACTTTAACTTTAATTTAAAAGGTTAGTTCACCCAAAAATGAAAATTAAGTCATTAATTACTCACCCCCATTCTGTACCAACCCCGTAAGACCTTCGTTCATCTTCGGAACACAAATGGAGATATTTTTGATTAAATTTGAGAGGTGGATCACTGCTACATAGGCTCCTAAAGGATTGAAACTTGACGGCCTAATTTCTTTTCTTCCTTCTGGGCCTGAGATGAGAGTTCAAGAGATTTCCACGACGCATGCGTGAGAATTGCGATCTCCTTCAACTACTTCTTGCGAAATTCTCGCGTATGCGTCGTGGAAATCTCTTGAACTCTCATCTCAGGCCCAGAGGGAAGAAAAGGAATAGTCGAGTAAAGTCATTAGTTTTGTTTTATTTACGCACAAAAAGTATTCTCTTCGCTTGATAAACTTATCGTTGAGCCACTGTAGTCACATGGAATATTTAAACATTTTCCTTATTGACTTTCTGGGCCGTGGCAGTGATCCAGCTCTCAAATTTAATGAAAATATCTTCATTTGTGTTCCGAAGATGAACGAAGGTCTTACGGGGTTGGTACAGAATGGGGGTGAGTAATTAATGACTTAATTTTCATTTTTGGTTGAACTAACCCTTTAATACATGTACCTTTGACATTCTTGAATATCTGCAGTATCTGGTATTAATGATGCAATAAAGATATAAAATAAACATATTTTTAAAAACGGAAAAGGTTTGATGGCACATTGAAATTACAGATATTTACAATTATGTAACATCAGCCAAACCGCTCAGAATGAGATATTATTAATGAAATGATACATACATCAATAATACATTTATAATATAAAACCTCACTGATCATGTTCAGACAAAATAAATGCCTACATCACAGTTCTTTAGATAGCAGATGGTTACTGGTCTAATAAACATTAGTTTGTGCTGTGTTTTGGTAGCCTGGCTAACTATTTTACTGCCAAACTCCTAAATTACACCATTAGCATGCATATGAAATGTTACATTTTTATCAAAATGAAATAAGAGTTGTTTATGGATATTGATCTTGTGTTAAAGGCAGGATTCTCCTATTCTTCTGGTTATAGAGAAAAATCGGTTGGAAATACAGTTTTAGAAGAAAAAAAGTCTAATTACCACTTCCAGCAGAGGCCCATAGAAATCCAATATATTTTTCTGGATGTGGCCATAACTGCTCTTGTAACAGCTTTCCTGGTTAAAATTTTGTGAATATACTGTAATATATTTAATATTTATTATATTAAATATATTTAAACATTATACAATACATTAAATCAGTATTTTTTGTCAAAGTTCAGATTTTTTTTTACTCTGTTGTTTGAGGTCTTTTTAAATGCCATTTGCTATGCCACATAAGTTGCCACTACAAGACAAGAATAGATTGTAATTACATATTTTTTATTTCGATAATCCAAATTTATAAAAAAATACTGAATTTTAGAATAAAAAAATAATTTTTAAAAAATTAAATAAAACCAACAAAGCAGACATGACCAGGAGTGAAACAAGTGAACCATGCTTTTTAGTAAAAGTTGATTGGGGCTCAAATTGACTCTAAAAACTGTAAGAGGGGTAAGAATTAATATTTCTACTTATAATATTTCTTTTTTTTAAAGTGTGATTCATGTAAAATACTTTAACATCTTTAAATATATTTAATATAATTTATTCCGGTGATGCTGTGAAGGTTTTATAAGGTTACATAAATGTTCAACTTATCAAACATCATTATCGATAGATTACGCATTAGTATGAGTGACAAATATTACTCATAATCTGCTTGTCATAAGACGGCTATTTCAGGATAAGCTTTGGAAACTTTTGGAATCTTGCTTTAGCTGCTGTCTATTGCCATTTGGACTTAAATATCTGTCAAAAATATGTAATGTATGCATTAGATTTACTTTATGTGTTGATTCTTAAAGTAAGTAAATGAACAGAAGCTGACAGCAGAAGAGTAAAGAAAACGGGTAATTCTGCTATGGCAGAAAGAGTATTTAAAAAGGAAATGTGAAGTGTGCACACTGGAAATATTTATTGAAAGCGCAAGGTTTCGACCGTCGTGTCTTCACTAGGCACAATGGTCAGAGTACAGACATGCCTCCACACTGGCTCAAACTGAAGACAATCAAGCGGTGGAGCGTGGATCATCCCTACTCACAGAGAGTGCTTTTTCACCCTAAGGCTTGAGGAATACACAATCATAAGATACTTTCATGTTCAGCCTGAAAATAAGGAGAAATGAGGACAAGCACACGCTTCGGCATCTTCAATCCGAACCGCTAGAAGTTTGTCATCATGTCAACAAACAAATGATGGAAAATAAACCACAACTGATTGTCAATATATTTATCAAATTGATGTGCTTTCCTCATTCGCTCTTCTAATATTCTAGAACACTCATTAAGGGAAATCTGTAATATATACAAAACTCTGTGACAAGTATTTAGACGAATGATTCTAATGAGTCATTGGTTCATTAAATATCAACTCACCTTGATGAGGGAGTCCACCATTGCTTTTCCTTCTTGCAGTGGCTGCGCTGAAGTTCCATCATCAGCGACCTTGTTGTTGGACAGTGGCATTGGGTTATGTTTTCTAAGGAAACAAGGGTGAATCCCTGTTCTAAAAGTTAGCGCCTGCCTTCAAACTGAACAATGCGTATACACCCTTCGTCTTAGCTGGAGCAAACTACAGTCCATATTTGAGCTGACTGTCCTGTCTGACCCGGTGACCAAAACTAAAAATATCAGTTGTCATCCAACAAGGATAAAAATCTAAGAAAGTAAAATAAAAATTTCAGGTTTCCAAAAAAGAAGAAAAAAACCGAGAGGCATGGAGGATTGTGATGTCAAAGTGGAGTGTGATAATCCGAATGACTGACCCCTTTGCACTGAGGTCGTGTGGTTAAGCTCATTATTTGCTGCTGAGAGGTGCGGAGATTCTGTGGCCTGGGAACACGTCACTACCTCCTCCTGGAGCCCCCTCTCTTTCTCCCATCACTCTCTCTTTCTTCTCTCTCCTTTCTATTTCTCTGTGCGTGTGCCTGAATGCCCCTGAACAGGCCCTGCGGGGCAGGTTGTGCTCCAGTGTTTTGTTTGCTGCAGTTATTGTGTCGGTTTTTCAACACATCGCTTGTTTGTTACAAACCTACAAACAATAACTACAATAATCAAACCTAAAATTTGAAACCAAATAAATGTAAATGAATATAAATAATATATTTATATCAAACTGGACTAGTCTCCTCTGTCTCAGGTCAAATTAGATTAGGGCCATGTTAAATTAATCCCTGAAATATATCTGCTGGATTGGTCTGGTTATCCCATCTTAACCATGACTGTACAGACCATACAGGTGCAAATCCTTTTTCGACTATCATATATGGAATATAGTTTTGGAGGATATATGAATTAATTTGACAAAAGATACACAGACAGGAGGAATATGAGAAGCAACTTTATTTATAACAGTCTTTGTTTTGATATTTCTCTAATAACATCTAGTCTTATCGTTTAAATCTCTAACTGAGAGATTATAAATCAGATTCTCTTGGCATTTAACATTGGTAGTTTGGTAGTCTTGTTAGCTGTAAACAATCAGTAGATTATCAAAGTTTGATATTAAAATTAGAGTTTAATGTCATGTTCAGTTTTAATCATGGAATAACTAACCCAATGGACAGTTTAATTATAATGAAAATTACATGTTTAATAAGCATAGGCCTACATAATGTAATACATACACTGAATCATTTGTTTTATCATTCAACATGAGGGCTAGTATTGCATAGAGCAGCATTGAAGTATTGTCTTTACGGCGATAAATTAAAATATTTTTTTTTCTTGTCCATTTACACGAGTACATTTACCTGTGAGACAAGATTGTTTACATTTATTCTTTCTTTTATTTGTAAAAAACAATTCAGCGCTTACACCTGTGAGGTCATAAATTGCAGTTAATTTTATTCATGTATTGTTCCATTTGTGATATACTACAATGGTAGTTCACGAAAATATTATAGTGTCATTTCATTAGGGTTGACTGTTAAACGAGCTGTTTTCCAGTTGACGTCACTTGCCTGTTATCTGAGGAGAAAATAGTTGAACAATTTTAACAACTTTTCACAAACAACAGTCAAAAATCAATGCATTTTAATGTAGCTATTACATAATAGATTAGTAAGTATGAAACATGGCATACCACTTAAGTATCTTGAGCTACCAATAGTGTGTCGTTTTTTTGCCATTCATTCTGATGGAAAAAAAGTGAAACACTTCACTATAGGGTTCTTTATAAACAAGTCCTTACACATATATGACTCATTCCAGAGTAATTCCACAATTACTGCCTTTAACATGAACTGGCAGAACTGCATTAATAGAATGAAACCTTGTGACTCCATCTAGAGGCTGACAGACTGAGAGTCCTCTTTAAAAAATGCTTGTTAAAACAAAAAAAGCCCTCGCCCCCAATGTTAGTTCTTACAACAAATAAAAGTAAAAGTTAGCCTTTTGTTACCATTTAATCATACCCATGTCGTTCCAAATATGCTGTTATTTTTTTTTTTTTTACATGTGTCAATGTAGCCTTCAAACACTTTTTATGTTAAAAACATTGATTTGGGAATGACATGAGTTAAGTAAATGATGACAGTCGAAAGTCTACATAATTTGATCAGAAATGTCGGAAAATAAAAAGGAAAATAATTCGATTAAAGGAGAACTTTATATCCCCAGGCTTCCATTTAGAAAGATACAAAGCTGTCTTGTGTAAAGGATAGATCTATGAGTAATCAAAATTTTAATTCATGAGAAATGAAGTCACTGAAGGGTACCTCTGCACGGTTCGACAAAATGATCCTCTCCAAAGTACTTTTGGTTTCATTTAAAAATGTATGGTTGGTCATCTGTTATGGATGGAAATCAGTAGACTGCATATTAAAAGTATGAAAAAGTATTGACATTTATTCAAAGCCTTTAAAGCTGTATATTTTACTGGTGAGATTTACAGTATGATAGTAGCATTGCCTCAAATATAAGTCTGTTTAAAGCAAAAACACGTACCTCCTCGTATTTACTTCCATTAACAAGGACATTGCTTGAAGGACCTTGCACTACAGGACCTTGCTGTGAATATGATTGAGGCAAGAAATGTGGTTTATTGTTTTAAACAGCAGCTATGCTATCATGTAGAATGTTAAAAGTTAAAATAATACAAAAGTAATTCATATTTTTTAGGAATATTCATTCTTTTGTCATTTCACTCTGCATTTAGGAATACTTGTTCTATAGGCACAAAAGCGCTATTGCTTGCTTTAAATTAAGACTCTTGAAGGCATGCACCAACCAACCGTCTCATTTGGTTTGTGTGATAAAAATGTGAAGTCATTCGCAGTATTCCCATTCCTGGCTGATCTCTGTGTAAAATTATAGGATTATTAGTAGTATTAATAGTTAGTAGCCTACTAATAACAGTGAATAGAAGAAAAAAATAATATATATATATATATATATATATATATACACACACACACACACACACATTCTGATGCCATTTGACAAAATAACCTCAATAAAAGTTAATCTAGGCTGATTGAAAAGGCTAAATAATATGTATCTTACTGACTATTTACTTTCATCGTCAAATCATTTTAAAACACATAAATAGAAAGACATACACTATAGTAACTTTTTGAATAACTGCAAATATTTTTAGGAGTGTCTTAATATATATTTACATACCTTGTGTGCTTCGAGTGTTACCAAACAGGCACACAGAACACAGATGTACAATTCTGTTTTCATTCTCAGCGAGTTGTTTAAAATGTCAGACCTTGGGGTAGGCTACTTTTAACCAGGGAAGAACAAGCTGACGGTCATTCAACTGCTCAGCTTCCCAATCAAACTGCTAGAACAATCAGGGGAGGGGTTGGGGGGAGAGTCTCTTGACTCTCAAAAATACTTCCTAAACACCACCGAAATGCGTTTGCAGCTTTGAAATATCCACGAATGTTCCAGTTAATGTCGCAGCTAGGGCCATGCTATGGGCCTAATATCGACCATACTAAGACTACAGGCTATAGACCATTTTGCAAGATGTAAACAACACTGGTCCAGAAACACTTCCTGTTTCAGTTTGTAACTGTTTTCTTTATTTCACATGTAAAGAAAACATCTTAAAGATGTTTGTTTAACTTTTTGATTCAGTTTTAAATGTTCTGTTGGTTGTATTTTATCCCAGCTTTTATGTAGTGTTAAAAAACTGAAACAGGAAGTGCTTCTGGACCAGTATTGTTTACATCTTGTATTCTTACTGAAAGTAACTTTTAAACTTTGTTAGTTTTCTTTTGATTCTCAAATGTTGAGTGAGGAGCTATGCAAATGATTATCGCATAATGTCGTTAGAGGTGGACACCAGCAGTGGTCAAACTAGTAAGACCTAGGTTTGTGTTTATTATGAAAAAGAAATAACATAGGCCTACTTGGATTTAATGAGTTTGTGTGACGTGTCTAAAAATAGTTCCGTTCACATAGGCTTAAAGCCAACTGGTTTTCCGGGAATGCGGTTATTATGAGTCCTGGAAATATAGGGGTCCTGGAAATATAGGGGTGCGAATTCGGTTAGAATGCGCACTGTTACTCCCGCAAAAAACCGAACAGTGTGTGATTGTGACCACGATGACTCAGATACAGGTTTAATAAAGGTAACCAGAAGTGCTGCGCAACTCATAGTGCGAGGCTGGAGCATTGTCATGACGACGGTATCAACATGAACTAGCAATTTCCAACAACAGCTAGCTAGGCTATATGCTATGTGTTGTGCTATCGCACAGGATACACAGGTGAGTTTCGAGAGCACAAAGTTTACTCTTGATTCAAGATTTGATATTCAAAACGCACACGTATGTCATTTGGTGGCCTATTCAAAATAACTTAGTTGTCGTGCTGAATGTGACAGAAAACGTTACTCTACATTGCAGGAATCATGAGTTCACAGGGCTCCCCAGTAAAGGTGTATATTCGCATTCGACCCACAGCCAATTTTGCGCACGAGCTTATTGAATGCCTACCTGACCAGCAGGTAAACTTATGCAATGTGCCAACATTTATCTTTTGTCTAAACTTTCTTAATTGTTAAATTACGTTAACTTATCTGTGAAGTTGGTCTTCTATGATGGCTACAGAGGACATCTATGATGGCTTATTAGCCTATACCTTCTGTATTTTTCTTGCTTTAACGCAAAACAAAACATCCCAAAATCAAAATAAACACAAAACATACAATTCCAACCAATCTAAATAGCTGCAAAAACATTACTATTAAAAATTATTAAAAAAAGCTAAGACAGAAAAATATTAGTGGCATAAACGTTTTGCTATAGGCCTATGTATACGTTTTTAAGTATTTTAAGAAGAACAAGATGATTAAAAAAAAAATCAGCATTTTTGTCTGAAAACCAAAAATACATATTTTATAGTTTTGAAGTCAAAGTCAGGTATTTCATATGTCAAATTTAGCCAAACATGAAGGTCATTAAAAATGTACATATAAATACCATTCAAATATGCTTTTAAAACATTATTATTTCAAATTTCCTCCAGAAATGTACCAGAAATGATTTAATTACTTTTGGGGATCATAGGTGAATAACACAATGCACCTTTAACCAACTGAGCCAAACGTATGCATAAAACAGATTGAATGATGCTAATGTTTAAGAATGCTTACACCTGTCGCTCTCTTTATCTCTGAGACTTTGAGAGTATGGTCCAAGAAAGGAAAGAGGAACAATCATCAGAGCTCACGGTTATTTCAGCTGAATGGAGTGCTGCACAATGCGTCACAAGAGGACATCTATGATGGTGTAGCCCAGAGTGTGGTGCTGGGAACCTTTGGGGGCTACAATGGTTGGTCATTCAAATGCATATCATATCTGAAATCACAAACATTTACAGAGGTGGTTTCTACTTTGAAATAAAAAGTTTAAGAAAGCCATTTGTGTGTTTAGGTACAATAATATGCTTTGGGCAAACTGGAGCGGGGAAAACATACACTATGACAGGTGCTGCAGAGACTTACAAGCAGAGAGGCATCATTCCTCGAGCCCTACAGGAGGTGATCGAGACCCATGAAAAAGAAGCACATAGTCAATGTCTCAGCTCTTATGGCTAATAAACCATCTCTTAATTCCTCAGATTTTCCAGGAGGTGGCGGATCGTGTAGATCATACATTCTCTGTTCACCTTTCTTTTCTGGAAATCTATAATGAGACAATAGTAGACTTGCTCTCCAGCGTAAAGCATGGAAAAGGTTCACATAGTGGAGTCCTAACTGTGGTAGAAGAACCAGGAGGTGGAGTCTCAGTCAAAGGATTGTCTTTACATCTGGTTCACAATGAAGAGGAGGCTCTTAACCTGCTTTTTGAGGTAAGAAGTAAAGTCACAAGGTCTTTTTTTAAAAAACAAAACAAAACATGAATGCATAATTATTTCAGAAAAAGGTCTATTTCCATCCAGTAAACAGAATTCTTATCAGGTTGTGTTTGCTCTGTTAAGGGCAAAGGTTTGCTCTTATATTTCATCATAGCTGTTGACAAATGGGTTAATGACAAACAATACGATATAACCACCACCAGAGAATCTCCATTAAAGACCTATTACTTATTAAAGAATGGCAAAAACTTTAATGTTTGCCCACATGGGCAAAAGCAACTGCTAAACATTCAGAATTGGATTTTCATATTTGCATTACAGATTTAGACAAAATAGGCACATCTCATCTGTGATAAATAACACTGATCTCACTGTGCTGACAGGGGGAGATGAACAAAATTATTGGAGAACATGCCCTGAATAAACATTCCTCCAGGTCTCACTGCATATTTACCGTCCACATTGAGGTAAGTGCCTGAAACGTACTGAACATAAGATAAAAAAAATTGAGTAGACTGGCCTTTTTACATATGGAGGTATTTTTTGCATATGTGGTCATGTGTGGCATAGTCTCGCTCTCGCACACTGTCAGAAGCAAAATACATCACCTCTAAACTGAACCTGGTGGACCTGGCAGGATCTGAGAGACTTGGCAAAACTGGGGTCAGGTCATTTCTCTTCTCATTATTACAGTTCTGCCTCAGTTTAGAGGCACGCTCCTCAAATGCATACAATTTCCAATTTTGTCACTCTACTTTTTGTCTTTTACTCCAGTCAGAGGGTCAAGTCCAAATGGAGGCAATGTATATCAACAAGTCCCTTTCTTTCCTGGAGCAGGTCATCTTGGCTCTAGCCGACAGTCGTAGGGAACATGTTCCCTTTAGACAGTGCAAACTTACACATGCTCTCAAAGACTCACTTGGTTAGTGCGCTAAACAATTATCACAAGTTATCCCAAAGAAGTTTACCAACAAACCAACATTTGAGATAGCTTTAAGGATTCAGCCTCAGAACCTCAGCATGTAAACATTCATTTTGAACATTGGGAAAATCTTCTTTTATGAAAAAAATAATGTAACATTGAAAGGGAGTCAGGACATATGTAAGCTAATGATTTATCTTTGGCTCAACTGTACCTACACAGGAGGAAACTGTAACACAGTGCTTGTGGCAAACATATATGGTGAAGGGACACAAATTGAAGAGACGGTGAGATGTTTTTATTATGAATCCAGTGAGACATGTCTGTTAAGTCTAGAAAACCCACACAACTGCTTTGTTTTTGTTTTTTTTGTTCTTTTGGCAGCTTTCAACTCTTCGCTTTGCCACCAGAATGAAATGTGTGAAGACAAAGCCATTAATCAATGAACATGTCGACCCTGTTGTAAGATTTTGTTCATGTATTACAAAGCTAATCCTCTTATAATATATCTAAAAAAATCATCTGCACATTCAACTAATGTCTAACAGAAAGTCTTTTCATATGATGGTTAAAACCATGTGAATGTTTGCCAAGCTTCAGGTGCAAAGACTAGAAAAAGAAATTCAGTTTCTCAAGGAGGAGCTGTCTATGTGTAACAAACTGGTGAGTACAAACACGTGCACATTCAGAATCTGTGCCTTTTACTCACAACACAATTACCACATCAACACATGAAAGCCGCATTCTGGTTTCCCAAGCTTTGACTTTGGGCTACATGGTTATTTTAGTGTCTTCCTAACTCATAGTCTAATCGAGTTTCTAATGAGGTCCTGTCAGAAACCCAGGTGGAGGAAGTGAGAAGTCAGGTGCAGAGATACCTGTCCGGATCACTGGTTGAGATTCCGGTAAACACCATAGTTTATACATCAGTGCTTCAAATATGTAAGTTTATCTTTTCTTGAATTAATCTCATTTTTGTCAGAACTGAATAAACGATTTAATGTTTCAGATTGTAAGCATTGCACAAATCCAAGAGGTGTTTGCCCAGTTCAAAAAAGTGGTATTGTAAGTCCAGTTACCTCTTCATCAAAAATTGAACATATTTAAAATGGAGGTCAATACAATTATGTTTGAATGTATTTATGTATTAAATAGGGAGCAGCAAACAAAATTGCGAGAGCAACTCTGTCCGAGAAATGCTCGTGTAGAGAAAGCCATGAACACAACACCATTTACTGTTGCAGAGGTTAGTGCTATACGGATATTCAGTAGACAACAATACTTCAGTAAGAACAGAAAAGGATGCCACATGCCTCATGAATTTTGCTACAGGCGCTGGAGTCTGTTTGTGCTGTTGGAAAGGTGGAGAGTTTTGGATATGGCTTAGGTTTAGCTGAACCTTCACGGAGACATCGACGAGAAGCGTCACCTAAACCAAGTAAAGGAAGAAAAGACAAACAGATCAGCAGGTGACATTATTTCCCTAATGTTTGATGCCTGATGTGACAAATCTGAGCAAATAACGAAGCATTTAGAGATTTAGAGTCTTATTGCTGGAATACACTGCACAACTTTTTATATCTGAACAGAATTATTAGGAAACATGCAGGAACTAAGCATCATACACTTGCCGACTTAGGAAAAAATAGAGGAAAAACTAGGCATGATTGAGGATCACACACTACCAGAACACAAGAAAATCACACAGAAACTCAAAATCTGCAGACTGCGTTGACTTTAAGCAACTACCTTTAGTCAGCTCTTTTCTTTGTCAATAGACATCTAGACATGATGAAAGCTTTGTGAAATGGAAGATGATTGAAAATGACAAAAATAATACATGACAATCGTATTTGACAAATTTGTCATTCTAAAAATAATTTACACTTAAAGGCCATTACAGTACATCATGGTCAAGAAATCATCCTCGACTCCATGTGCATGTATTTGTAAAAACCAAAACCTCACCATAAACTACAAGAGCAAACACTAACCAAATTTAGATTACCAGGCTGTAAATTGTGCTTCAAATCTAATCTTGAACAGAAAGGAAGGAGCATTGAGCCAATGGCCTGTGGAAAACACAACTGTAGAAGCCGCACAGCCTCTAAACATGAGTGAATCTGACGTGACCACACAAGAGCCCCAACGACAAGATCCAGAACAACAACACAGAACTGAGTAAGTTCCTTACACTGTACATACATCGGCAGCACCTATAGACCATTTCACAAGATAAACAACACTGGTCCAGAAGCACTTGCTGTTTCAGTTTTTTAACACTACATAAAAGCTGGGATAAAATACAACCAACAGAACATTTAAAACTGAATCAAAAAGTTAAATAAACATATTTAAGATGTTTTCTTTGCATGTGAAATAAAGAAAACAGTTACAAACTGAAACAGGAAGTGTTTTTGGACCAGTGTTGTTTACATCTTGTGAAATGGTCTAGATAAGCTTGAGGAGACCTCTGCTGGCAGCTACCAAGTACCGCAGTTACTAATGAATATGAACGTCAGCTTACATTAATATTAAAATTACTTTCTCAGCTCTCCTCCACCCAAAGCGGAGGCATTTGAAGATTTCAAAGCAGAACGGGGAAGTGAGATTAACCGCATACTAAAGGAGAACAAGGCTGTGCTGTTGGACCGCACGTCCCAATTACGCACACTCACCGATGTCATCAATGTGACTAAACGGGATCTTGACAACATTACATATGAACTACAACTTTTCAGAGAGCGAAGAAAAAGCCAGGGTGAGCATTATATGATGTAAAAATGAGATGTAGTAATTATATGAAGCTGAAGCCATTGGTTTTATAGGTCAGTTTGTGAGTGCGGAGGGGGAGCCTGTGATGGAAGAGGCTGAACTGTCTCTATTGATGCAGCTAAAAAAGCTAAAGAACCGTTATAGACAAGCCTATGAGGACCTCAGATGCACAAAGACAGAAGTCAGCTACTGTCAGCACCTGGTGAATCAGTGCCGCACACGACTACTAACAGGTGACTTCCCTTAGTTCTCTACACATGTAGTTCCTCTTGTTTCTAGGCTTCTCTTTTTTTGGTTTGAATGTCTAAACCTCCACCAATTTAGATAGCTAGTTGTAATCTATGATCGTCAACATTTTTTTGTACAAAATTTACTTCCCTCATCTATCTAAATGTTACAGTTGTACTTACCAGAACTCACTTATGTTTATCCTTCTCTAAAATCAGTTTTACGCTTCTGTTTTGTGCTTGCCAGAGTTTGAGAGCTGGTACAATGAGTCTTTCCTGTTGCCGGATGAAGTGCTGTCAGTCTTGGAGGCTGGACCAGTTAGGCCAGGTCACATACCTGTGGACAAAGCTTTAGCTCTGGTCAGTAAGAGTCACACATGTGCTCATGAAGGCCATTACACTTGAGACCTGAGTGGTTAAGGAGTGTACTTTTTTTTTTTTAAATACATTTTATTCAGATATGCAATAAATTTATCAAAAGAGATTTACATTGTTACAAAAGATTTAGTTATCAAATAAATGTTCTTTTAAACTTTATATTAATCTAAAGTATTGCAGTTTCCACAAAAAATATTAAGCAACTGTTTTCAACATTGATAATGACATTAAATGTTTCTTGAAAAAAAATCAGCATATTATGATTTCTGAAGGATCATGTGACACTAAAGACTGTAGAAATGATGCTGAAAATTCTATTTAAAAATATATTCAAACAGAAAACAGTTTTAAAATAGTAAAAATATTTCACAACATTGTTTTACTGTATATTTATGATTAAATAAATACAGCCTTAGTGAGCATAAGAGACTAAACATCTAAAACACACACAAAAAACACAGACCCCAAACATTTAAATGGTAATAGATAAACATTTAAATGGCACTACTCATTTTTATCTGATTACATAAAATATGTATATTTTCTAAAAACTGTTAGCACATGCTTCCTAGTAATTCTTAAAACATTGCGGTTTTAACGAAGATTTTTTTTTTAAGATTAAGATCTCTTGCTTCAATTTAGCACCTGAAACCTCTCATGATTTTAAATATTTGTGGTACATAATGTAATGAGCCGATAAAAATCTTAACAAAATGTGTGAGACTCGTTTTACTCATATTACTGGACAGATGGAGGATGATGAAGAGCATGGTGATGCTCCCTGTCACAAGCTGCAGGCGGACAGTTCCAGTGCTGTGTTATTTTATAATGCCTACAACAGGGCTCTACAGAGGGTAAGACACACTTACACCTGATACTAGGTTTCATTACTCAGCACTCAAATAACACTGAATGCAATGCTAAATGTATGCAACAATATAATTTGCATATAAAAACATCCTCTTGTCTTTACAGAGGGGAAGCAGACAGGCTTCTCAGAGTCCAGACTCAGTGAGAGGCAGCAGGAGTAAGATAAAACTCTCTTCTATTCTCTCAATCATCCGATGAAGGCGTCTGTACGCTCACTTTACACTTTCTAAAGCATGTTTCCATGACAGATGACAGAATTACTGCTTGTGCTGTATAATGTGAGAATCTGTACTGTTCAATATTGTTCAACCACAAAGACAATCTGTCTATAAAATGTTTGGGTTGAATGTGTAATGCGTATTTCTGACTGTGCAGTGTTATTGGCATGTACTTGTTACTCTTGACAGTATATTTCTCCACTTTAAGAAAACAGCAGTTCACGCTAATGAGAGGCAAAAACAACCTCAGTACATCAGGTTGTTAAATGAAAAGTAAACTTTATTATTCCTGAACCACAAAATAGACTTCTTTGGTTGTACAAATTCACTAGTTACAGTCCTGAATGAGCTATATTCCCAGACCTTTTGTCCCACCCCCTTTAGCAAAAAAACAAACAAACAAAAACAAATCCTCCCCACCAAGACAGAAAAACAATAAGAGCTCAAAGTCTTTTGCTCTGAAAAAGTAAAAATGTAGTGAATCCCAATATTTCATTGGTTACAGAAAACCAACTTCTCTTTTTTTCTCAAACTATATAAAAAATGATGAGCAATCCCAAACTGTTATTAACCAAAACTGAATTTCAGTTAATGAGAGCAACACGAAAGCTAAGATTAGTAAAAAAAAAAAAAAAAAAAAAAAAGATTATTTCATATGTTTAACAGGTTCATTGGGACACAGTGTTGATGGCAGCCAGGGTGGTGAACAACTGATTTGAGAACAGTGAAATAAAACGTTTATTTAAAGGAATAATAAAAGTATATCATCTTAGTCCTCACACAGGATTGACACTAAAACTGCAATAAGCAACAAACCAATATACACACTGGGACTCAGTCAGTCAAGACCCTGGTAGAATCATCTACACCCTCCAGACTTTAGTTTGGTCTCGGGGCAGAAAGGCTCAGATTCAACTCTGATTTTTGCTGCTTTTTTTAAGCATTTATACATTATTCACAAAATTAGCTTTTTAGTGGCTTTATAAGTTCAACTAATTAAAATGTAGATTAGAAAACGCCTACTACCTTCACACACCTGTCAGAGCAAGAGAAAGAAAAGATATGAGGAAGATTTGTAGATAGTAATAGAGACCAATTGTTCTCAGATGATTTAATTGTCTCCTCACACTCCCAAAATGGTACCAAATGTTTATGGAGAGTTGAGTGTTTGTCAGTGTGAAATTCTCCACTCTGGTCACTCAGTGTGGCAAAGGGAATGATTCAATTTATAGATATACAACATGGCCCAGAACAAGGAGTAGAAAAAAAAAAAAATGGAGAACGCATTTTAGGTGATTTAGATCACCAAAGGAACAAAAACAAAAGTCTTAGGGAAACATTATCCACTTCATTTTACTCTCCTAGTCCAGTCAAGGAAGACCAGAGATTAACCAAAAGGTTTCGAATGACACTACTCAATATAGTAGGTCAGTCTTTATGATATGGCATGATCATACACATTCCGAAAAGGTCTAGAACAGATCTTTGAATTAGGTCAGATGCAACCTTTCAAAAATATTACATTCATTTGCATCATCTTAAAAGAGAATTCTGTTTTGAAAAAACTGATATGGATTTAAAATGGAAATAAAGCTTTACGCCAAGGCCTCGTTTACAATCTTAAAATGTTGCGTGCAAGAAAAAGTATCCCAATCCCAAAACTCAAAATTCATCACGAAATAACAAGTAATCAGCTTATACACATGTCAAAAAGCCTCAATTTGTTCCTCTATTGTACTGGATTCCCATAGATTAAAAACAGTATATTACATTAATAAATTACATGTAAAAGGAATAAAAGCTTTTCTTTCTGAGAGTGAATTAAAACAAAAAAAAAGTGAAATTCTGGTTTACATGGGCAGTGAAGGTAGCAGTGTGTTGTCTGCAAAACATGAACACGGATACATTTAAAAATCCCCTTTTCTGCCTTTCCACATTTCACCCAGAACATTTTCTAGAGAATTTTTCCAAAGTGTTTAGAAAACCCCACCGCATCTCAAAACAATTCTGCTTCTAAAATGGTGACTGACAGAAAAATTGAGTACAATGGGTAAAAGAATCAGCCATCCCCTGGACCTGTCATAGCAATCCTTTTCAACCGAAAAGGCAAGACCAGACAAGAGAAGCCCATCAGCTCACCTCCCAACCTGTGTTGCCGGCACTGAAATAAGAGTGGTTTAATATCTGTGTACATCTTTTAGTATAAGATGATCACTATGTGTGTTTTATCTTCACAGTTCAGATGCATTAGTGTGTGAGTGTACGGTTACGTGGGCACAGGAGCCTCCAGGCTGCGGCGGCCCTGTCGTAGTTTGCGCTTGTTACTGTAGAGAGCCATCTCCTCTAGAGCAGATGTGGTGGCCACGGGAACTTCTGGATCTACAACAGGAAAAAATGACTTAAATACAATCGTGCGAGAGGAGGAAGAGTCTTTAGCGCTGCACACGTAAAGCGCACCTTCAACCACTGAAAATAAGAAATTTGCCATCTCCGAATTGACAAATGACAGCTTTTATAACAAAACATTGATGCCACCTTTTATTTACACTTCCAAACCATCCCATTATTATCTTTAAGCCCCACTTCCGTTCTAAACCCCCAAACTCCCGCAAAGCAGTGATTCAGGAGAGCCATTCGATGATGCATAAGCTGAAAGGAGGAGCTGCACACCATGCAGAAAAAAACCCTGCAGAGCACTGATGACATTTGGGTGCCTTGTCAAGACACTAGAATTGAGGTTAGAAGCACACAGATAAAAATATACAAGTGTACTCTACAGCATAGGAAACTCTTGATTATGAAATTAGCGCCCATTTTAATGAAACTTGCAGTGAAAGATCTGTTAGATGTACAAACAACAGGTTCACCAATTTTTCAAAATGTAATAAAACATGCAAGCTGCAAAATAAATAGATGGCACCGATGGTGAAAGGACCCTCTTGGAACTGCTCCGTTTATTACACATTAGTATTTTACCGCAGCAGAGAGACTTCAGAATATTGCAGGGATGCACGATTATTATTGGTTGATATTAAAGATTTTTTTATAGAATTTAATCTTATTTCTCAGCTCTCTGGACTACTTGATTCTGACTTGTCAGATGTGACATTCCACATGATATTTCCTAATAATGGCCGTCGTCATTAGCAGAGAGATTATATTGCTCTCTCTCTCTTTCATTAAAACTTAACCGGTATCATCTTGCCTCTTACTTATCGACTATTGGAAATGAAATTGGAGCACATTAGCATTAAAATACTGTAATATTGTTGAAGAGTTCGTATAATTGATGCCAGAATGATTGTTTTGTACTATAATGGAGTCAAACATAATAAACAAGTAAGATTTTTTAATCTTAAATCAATATTTATGTCTTTGTCACCACTAGCTTTTCACCAAATAAGTAATAAGACTGTTATATCTTAAATGTTTTATTTTTAACTTGCTGGTTCGTCAAAGCTCAAAGCTTTACAAGTGAGAAAATAAAATATTTAAACTCAAATCTATATTTTCCATCCAATTATTTACTCATGTGGCAAGCAGCTGTGTAATAAGTGGAATAATGTACATCTAGCTAGTAATGGCAAAAATTATTTTGCAAAAACAACAAAGCTGGATGTACATTATTCCTGACATGTTGGTTGATTTTAAAGTTCATGTTTTTTTCTTCTTCTGTTTTTACATTAAACCGCTCATTTAAGAGCAGCAATAACTCAACTGTTAAACGTAATCTTTAGAACATCTCAAAATTTCATACTGTACAATTATGGTGCTTGTAGCTTTTTAAACGATAGAATATGGACCACTGATCGGTTTTCAGCCAAAACAAATTAAATAAAAATATTGGCTAAGAAGTTATGTGACTGTTTTGACCACTGCTGTTGCACACTACGTCAAACAGAAGGAAAATGTTTAAATCTTCATCTACAATGTCACTGTTTTGGCAAACTGCAACATGTGGCATTACATTCAGATTGCTAGAATTCACATGCAGTTCATGTCATCAGGTTGTGGTTAAGACACACCTATTTTGAAAAATTGGTAGAACTCTAAATCAAGAAACCTTGATTCTTCAAAAACATGTTAAGGAATTAAAGCTCATCTGAACCTTGCTCATTTTGAAGAAATTGCAGATTATCCACCTTTTTCCTAACAAGTCTACCGCATTTTAGGTTATGAAAGGCACTTCCGGTTTGGGGAAGTTCCATTAAAAAATACAGAAACATATATGTTGCCCTATAAATAATCCTTATTCATCAGTTTGACTGAATGAGCTTTGTGTGTGCTATTTTCAGACTTCAGGAGAATAACACAACACTTGGAATTTTAATGTGACATGGTACAATGAGAATATCTACGGAAAGAGCTCTTTTCAGTCGCTGCACTCTTTTCCTCCTGATTATTTTTGTTTCCTTTGTATTCTGCTGTAATACTATGAAAAAAAGACAACATCCTGGTCATTTGTGGTCTTCTGTCCCGATTTAATTTACCATATATTCCATAAATAATTCACTGGAACGCACTAAGAATCTCATTTTTCTCCAAATCCTCAAGTCTCTATCCAGGTTTGTTTTCACACGGATGCTTTAAAATGTGATTGTCTCCGCTTTTCACTTTTTATCCCTATTAGCAGTGTTTACTGTAACATTTCTAAAGCATGTAAATATAAGATTCTGTCCAAATCATTTTGAAATATCACGCAATGTTCCTACTGTGATATTTAACACGTTCATAATATAGCTGTGGAAAACTTTTTTGGTTATTCCTTGTCTGTTGTAGTAATTGGTAACAACTTTTAAATTTCCTTTTAATCTTCAATGGTTGAGGGATGAGTAGAAAAATGTAATCTCATGTTACCCAGTTTTTGAAAAAAGTGTTCATAGACCGAACCTTTTGCAGATTGTTTACAGTTGAATGGAAGTTACTCCCATAATTCGAACAAAGCGTCATGGTACTTAGAAAAAAGGTGGATAAGTTTAGCCCATAAACAAGTGGAGTACAGCAGGCTTCTTATCAAAAACCAATGCATATGCACACACACACTCACACACAAACAGATCTCCTACCAATATTAGAAGAGCATTTATCCAAGGAAGTCACCTGTGTCAAGGGGACAATAACTGTAAGCCATGTACTAGTGAACACAAAGATACCCAGTAGACTGTATTCACTCTGAGGATCTTACCTGGGTTACTGGAGGCATCATCCATGAAGCGCACATCATCACCTGCACCAGGGGACTGCAAGAGAGAGACAGTGTAAGAGGAGGAAACTGAGTTCAGAAAGAATTCAACAGCTCATCTTTACTCTCCTACCCAAAAGACAAATAGCTCTTTTTGGTTGAATTTAAAAAAATGCTAGGTGTACATTTTCGGTCTAAAAAGACAAATGTAAATGACAAGATGAGGCATTTAGAATCGGTTGGATCAACAGACTCTAGACATCTGAGCCACAGAGCTGTTCTGGGAGATGCCACATGACCTTCACCGGATCAGAAAGCACTTCTGTAGGGGACCTGCTGCTTCAAAACTGAGGTAAATCAGCTGCGGACAGACTTGCTGAGGGACATCTATATTAAAATAAGGTCCATAAGGCCTGCAAACTTCTCGTACTCCTCTGTCGAAGATCCAATTAGATGTTGGTAAAGGATTGGCCTAATGCTTCAAGGATATTTGAGAGACCATTCCATCTCTTCATCTTTTTCAGGGCAGATAATTTTAAGAATTGGAAGTGAATTTATAATATACTAATCTTTGCTTTTCAAAGTCTGCTTAACAGTCCCTCCAAAATCTCACAACACAGGCATGCTGAACAAACCTTCACCCCCACCAAAAAAACACGTTGCCAATCCGTTTTTTTTCACATACCCCCACCCCCCGAATAACCCAGAGAACTATATAAAATTATCCCAGTCAGGGTGAAGGTGCTTCTTCACACAGTAACTCACATAAACACAACATAGTAAACACTCAGTCATATCATGGCAGTCTCAAAAGGCCACCAAATTGCTTATAAGGATTTCTCAGGCTTCCTGTATATGGCTTTGCTTGAATCCAGAGTGCAGTAAATTAGGATCGACTAGAGGCATTTTGAATGACCAGTTTTTACATAATCCAACAAATCAAATGTATCTAGGCTTTAAAGGCAACTTTAAAAGGGAACAACTTACACTACAAAAGGTCAAATGTTTGAGGTCAGTAAGATTCTTAAAGCTTGCGAAAGAAGACTCTTATGCTCCCTAACTGTACGTTCACACCGCCTCGACTTGAGCGTCAAAGAAGCTCTAGCTGCCAAGATGTCAAGGAAAGCTTGTCAAAAAGTACGGGAAGCTCGTTGACACTTTGAATGCTCTGACGTTGCAGGGAGAATAGAAGTGTCACAACATGAAAAATAAACAGATAAATAATAAACAGAAAAACACAAGCAAACGTTGAAGAAACCTTTAATAATGACAGAATTTTTATAACTGTTTTGGTCACATTTGGTTGGACAAAAAAAATATTTAGCTATTTTATTATTTATTATTTGCGGTCAAATCGGTGTCACCATAAGCAAATTAAATGCATTCCCACTTGAAAAAGAGCGTTCGTAAATATTTCAAATAAACAAACAACGTCATGTCATAAATGAT